CGAATTTGGCGTCGGCTAAATCGGTATCCTCCAGTTCTACAGCTAGATCGGGAATTGATAATCCCCCAGTTTGTGCCACCTCGATTCATGGCATTGTTAGTTCGAACGTGATGAAGTACCTCTTCGGGTGGTACTCTATAATATACACCTCTCCAATTTGGATTGACAAGCCGCATGTATTTGTACAGTGTTGGCTTGGAAATTCTAAGATAGCATGCGAGGTAAGCAGTAGTCTTAGTCTCGAGGATCTTCAGGTGCATCCAAGTGCCAAATGCAGCTGGACTACCGAATCCCCTCGATTGCAAAAAATTATAGAAGGCCTAGAAATGTGCAAATCATGAATCTAGAAGGCTGGAAACTAAGCAAACCTCTGGGAGAGCATCGTTGTCACTATCCATACTGGAACCATAGTCCGAATCACTAAAATTGGATAGAAGGCCATCCACCTCATCTTCCTCCACATCTTCCAGTAAACCTGGAAGAAAAAGTTTCAGTGACACAAATTTGAAGTAAACTAGGGAGAGAATTATACTCATGGTAGGAACTTGAAAGTCCATAGAGAACAATTGAGTAGTAAATCAAAGTCACTTCCAACACTGCCCACAAAAACATTTCAAACCACTCACTAACAAACCAAGTTACCTTCCACATCTGCTACCAAGAAACATGCCGAATAACAAAGCACTAAAGCAAGGCGCTAAGGCAAGGAAGCGTCTCCTAAACCCTATGACCTGATGAATCCCCATGTCATGGGGTCAAACTTGATGATATGTGGCATCTATGTGTAACACATTGTTCATATTATGGGGACATCATTGACCCATCGGCCAGCATCCATGGGGCATCCATGAGGCATCCAAATGACATTTAATGCCGAACCAATAGAAAACTGCCACATGGACACTAATATTGTGAGTGAAATCTATCGCAGTAACACTCACCCTTTTACGAATTGCACGCCATATCTAGCAAGTTCCCACACAGAATTACACCGTCTGTCTTCACATCCCAGGATTATCCCATGATTCTCAAGAATGCCGTCAAAATTGCCAAAGAGGGAAAATCTCCTGGCTGATCGTGTGAAATGGCCAGAAAGTTTTTGATAAGGCACCATTCTAACCCCAGTCCATTTCATGCTTTTCGATGGGCACCCCTACATACATATTTCAGCAGGTAAATCTGACAGAACCGCATTTCACGCGGAAGGGCTACATTTGAGGCGCAAAGTCAAAAGCAAAAATTCATTTAGCTTGGAAACACGAGACAGCTTTACACATCCTCCTTGCCAACGTAAGGACGTGGAACATACTCCTCTTCTTCCTTGGGTACTTGGATCGTCACCATGTCCGGCAGCGGTGTCGACGGCCCGGTCTTGCCCTTTGGATCCCAGTCCAGCATGATCTTCACCTTGATCCCCAAAACCCCCTGCCAGCCAGCACAATCCAATGCTTAGAAACTGGATCCAAATCAAAATGATCGAGTTCTTGTACCTGGCGCAAAAGGACGTGGCGCACGGCCCTGTCAATGAACTCGTTCACGGGGCTGCCAGACGAGATCATGTATCCGTCCTTGAACTTCATCGACTTGGCGCGTTGGGCTCGGAGCTTGCCGCTCACAATCACCTGAAAGGAGCCAGGAATGAAGTTACAACCTGAAGAGCAAAATGCCGAGAGTTCGTCCATACCTCACAACCCTTGGCTCCAGACTCCATGATGAACCTGAGAACACCATAGCAGGCCCTGACAAAGTAGAGAACTCTTAGCACCAAGGCCAAAAAAGAAAGAAAAATCAAACCTTCGGACGGCCAGTCCTCCCAGGAGCTTGTATCGCAAAGACTCGGCTTGAGCGATGGCGCAGAGGCCACGGTTGTTCACCTTCTCGGCATACAGCTCCACTGTGCTCTCGGGGAACGAGAACCTCTTCTGGACGACAGACGTGAGTTCTCGAATTCGGCGACCCTTTTCGCCTAGAATCAAAGCTTACTAAGTGAATCCGCCCAGAAACAGAGGAATTTACCCAAAACGCTCTGCGTTCGCGTCGCCCGGATGATGATCTCGGTGCGCATCGGTGTGACACGCACCTCCACGCCCGAGTATCCATCCTCTGCTAACTCCCGCGTGAGAAGCTCGTTGAGCTCGGCGTAGAACACGCCATCGGCGACGAACTGGAAGAATCAAATCAGAGGAGAAGGAGGGAGCGGCATTGCTGAACAGACCTTTCTCTTCTTGCTGATCTGCGTCGCCATTGCCAGAGAGCTAGGGTTTCATGCCACGCCGTCAGATCTAGGGCTCTTACGAAGTCAGGATCAACGGTTACGATAACGGATTAAAGGCTATTAGCTTGAATTAAATCAGCCTAGCTAATCTACAACAAATTTTCTTTGATACAAGAAAACATTATTTACATCCAAAACTCCTCATGCTTAGCAACTACCCTTTGTTTCGTGAAAGGATTTAATAGTTCCTGTAGTTCCCGTCCATGTCCATGTATTGTTGTGGCTGGAACAAGAAAAGGAGTGATTAGCAACGCAAAGCGAAAGAAAAAAATCTCTAGAACAAGTAACTCCAATCTAGAACCCACAGTCAGTGAACAAGCGTTCCAAGATTTACAAAGCAAGGGAGAAGATCTGGAACTCTAAAAGCAAGCAAGAAAAGCTATGAGAGAAAACTTACTGGCTGTCCATAAGGCTGGCCACTATATTGTCCAGGCAGAGAATTTGAAGGCCTGTTTGTAAACCACTTTGAAGAACACCGCGAGCCACAAGAAAAGCTTTTACCCGTATTGCTGGCCACCACGGCCACCTCCTCCCATAGGCGGCGGTCCTCGTCCTCCACCGCCATAGGGAGGACCCTGTGGATAGCCTCCCGGTGGAGGCATGGGATACGAGCCTCCTCGTCCACCGGCGGGAGGAGGACCACCGTAAGCTCCTGGCGGCGGTTGGATACCATAGCCACCTTGGTTCCTGTTTTGGTAGCCTCCGCCGCTACTACCACCACTACCTCCGCTACCACCGGGCCGGCCCCCCGCTTGGGGATGCCGGTTGGAGTTTCCAGGAGGACCGCGACCACCGCCGCCGCCGCCGCCGCCGCCTGCGTAGTGTCCTTGGTGAGCTCCTCCAGTGTGTGCCGATGGATGGACAGCTTGGCCCGGAACCGGCCTCATGTTTTGGACGGGCGGCTGCTGTTGGATCGGCGGCGGTGGCCGACTGTTGTGGTGGTAGTGTTGATTCGGCTTCTGCCGCTTGGCCATGTCGTCCTTCTGCTGCTGCCGCTTCCTCTTTGTTTGGAACTCGTGAGACGACTCGTAGCGCGGAAGGCTGGAACAAGTTCATATCTCAGTTGGAGGAAATGAAAGGCACAAGTGTATGGAAAATACTTGCCTCGCGGGATCACAAGGAAGAGGATCTGTCCAGAAGTATTCAGCGTCCAAGGCGTCCTTGGCAATTATCCTCTGCAACCAAACATTGGTGAAAACTGCTACACCTATGACGAACACTTGCCTGAAGAGGGTCCAGTGTGAGCATACGCTCAACCAAATCCAACGCATGCCGATCAAATCTACAAAGACACAATTTTGTGAGTCTACTAGAAAGAACACTGGCACTTACTGTTTGAAGACGTCTTTCACACGCCTCTTGTAATATATGCTTGGTCTGTGCATGTTATACCACGGCAGCTTTGACACACCCGGCCAGTTTGTCTCGTCCGGGGTTCCACAAAACTCAAAGATTTTAGCCAGTTGATCTTGCTGGAAGCGAGAGAAAAAAGAGTCAGAAAACTCATATACGAGAGACTCGCCGCTCACCTCATTTTTTCCCGTTAACACTGGCTTTCCGTAGAGAAGCTCTGCAAAGATGCAGCCCACAGACCACATGTCTACTGCTGGCCCATACTTTGTACAGCCAAGAAGTAGCTCAGGAGGTCTATAACAAACGGCCGTAACCAGAAACATTCTGCAAAGCACGGACTAGGTACCTGTACCAAAGCGTTATGACTCGGTTGGTCAATTGCGCGTTCTGATCATTAGAAAACGAGCGAGCCAAGCCAAAATCAGCCAGCTTGAGATTCCCCTTGTTGTCAATCAAAAGATTCGAGCCTGCGCAAATCCACAAAACTTCAGCCAGGCACTGACAAGAATAAACTCAAGAACCTTTGATATCCCGATGAAGAACTTGGTTGATATGACAGTAGTAAAGGCCGGTGAGAAGCTGCTTCATATAACACTGCAAAAGCACCGTGTTATGTTGAGAACCCGGGAGCACCGCAGCTGTGAAACTCTACCTTGATTTGTGGGACAGTAAAACGCATGCCAGGCCGATCAGACAAGCCTGTAAGGTCGTGGTCCATGTACTCAAACACCATATAAATACTTCCCTTGTATATATTCCCGTCTGGAGGAGAAGGAGATTTTTCTTTGGCTCCTTTTGGCGCATCCTTCTGCGTTTCCTTGGGGTCATCTTGCTCAGGTCCTAAAGAACAAACAAGCATGAACAAGGAGCAAAAAAAATCCAAAGAGGGGCAATTTACTTACCAGTCGAAGTGACGATCTCTTTCAATTTGATCACATTCTCGTGCTGGAGCTTCTTCAAGATCTTAATCTCCCTGATAGCAGTTATAGGAAACTAGCAACAGCCTAGAGTCAGAAGAGCGAGCGGGGCAAGACGAGAGCAAACATTTTACCCCTTCCTTTTCATTGTCCATCCTAACTTTCTTAAGCGCAACTATCTCATTCGTATCCTTCTCCCTAGCCATATAAACTTGCCTGGCAAGGCGCCCCAAAAACGAAGAACACCGCAATCAATCGCAATCCCCAGGCTGCGAAAGGAAAGTCTTACCCATAAGTCCCCTCGCCAATCTGCTCCAGCTTCTCAAAGCACTCGACGCTGCGCGAACCCCACGACGGCGACTCGCAGAGATTGAGCTGATCCGCGGCCGCCTGCCTCGCCATCAAGGAAGGCGCTGCCCACAAACCAGAAAACCCTAAATCGGGAATTTAGGGTTCTTGGGCACAATGCCCACAAAACGATCCTCCTTTTTATTAAAGGCTAGAAGACGAAGACGACGATGGACAAAAGGTAATAGTATAGTCCGACCCCGCGCTACAATTCCACGCCGACTTCCACGAATCAAAAGGATAGGTGGCGGCGGCCGGGCAGCACGACTTAAACAGCACCGAGAAGACATTCGGGTGGCACTTGTCCGCTCCAAAGTGCTCCTTCTCGCAGCAAAACTCGTCCGCGCCGAAAGCCACGCACGGGCTGCTGCATCCCACCGCCATGCCTCTCGGGTTCCACGCAATCAGCTCCGGCGGGCACTTGGAGTTTAGATCCGCGGAGCACCCCGCCACGCCGCAGCCGAGGTTGCTGCTCGTCACCCGGACCTCGAGGTTGTAGCCGGCCAGCAGCGAGACGCGGTAGTGGTCGAGGACGTTGTTGTGGTGGAGATCAAACTCGACGATGGTCGCTGGCGGCGAGAAAGTTGAGTTGCAGCCGAGGTTGCCCGAGCAGTCGCCCGTCTCGCAGCACCCGGTGCCGAGGACGGTGTCAAACTGGCAGTTTGTTCGGCCCCAGAACTTGCCAGACCACCGAGTCGAGGCGTGCACGTCCATGACTTGCCAGGAGTCGAGTCGGCAGCCTCCAACTCCCAGCTGCGGATGCCCGTCGCTCGGCAGCCACGCCGGCCAGATCGTAAACGGGCAAGTGTTGTAGAGTCGGATCTTGGTGGCTTGAGCACCTGGAAACTTAAGAGTTAGATCGATCTAGAAATGGTAGAAGAACAAGCTACCGTTCATCCAGGACGAGCTCGATAGCAGTAGCAGCAGATAGAATCCACCGAGAACTTCCATGATCATGCCTTGCGTAGAACCGAGCCCAAGAGGGAAACCACCGTCCGGATCTTGAGAAGCAAGCCAGGCAGTACCGCTTGCATGATCGTAGCTTGAGACAGCAGCAAAGAAACGATGCTCCTTACACTGCAAAAGCGAAAATTCGCTTCGTTTTTCACATGCTCCCGAGTGCTCTCTACGCAAAGCTCGCGTTTTCACATGAACCTGAAACGGGTAAAATCGTTAAAGCACAAGAGTTTTACCCGGGAGAGCAGCACGCGTTTATAAACGAAGGCAGCAGCCACTGTGTTCCCTCACTGAACACAACAATGTCACCGCTGGCCAATCGCAACGTAATACTCCCGGCACTCGTCCTCGTCGTGCTCACAATCTCTGGTATAGGATTGCAGCAGAGTATGATATACCCGGAGAACAAGTTCTCTCCATTTTCTCTTTTCGCTTCCCTTGGCTTCCCCTGTCATAACTCGCAGCGTTGTCTCTCCGAGACTAACTCGTGATAACTTTGCAGGAACTGATGCAGCCGGGCGGTACCACATACGTCTCGTCAACAACTGTGGCTTTTCGGTCTGGCCTGCGTGGTTCCACTCGGGGAACCAAAGCCAGATATGTCCCGGAGGCACTTTGCTCGAGCCAACGCAGGAGTATAGCTTCTTCCCGTCGGCTCTCTGGTCCGGCTACTTCTGGGCCCGAACTGGCTGCTCCTTCAACAAAACCACAGGGCACGGACCCTGCGACACCGGCGGCTGCAACGAGAGCCTGGGGTGCAAAGCTCCCGGAAAGTCACCCTTCACCACCGCCGAGTTCTTGCCAAACCGCAACAACGGCACCATGAAGTACCATATCTCGTTCCTCCACGGCTTCAACGTCCCGATAGAAATCTCCGAGCACCACGGCTACAACTGCACTCACTTGAGCTGCCCCTGTTTCGAGACCATGGAGTCGTGCCCGAGCGAACTGGTTGTCATGTCGGGTGATAAGAAGGTCGGCTGCCAAAGTCCCTGTGAGAAGTTTGGAGATGAAAGGCACTGCTGCCGAGGGAACTTCACAGGCTCGGCTTGCCAGGCCACCGAGTACTCGAGATACTTCAAACAGTCGTGCAAGGACGCCACAACTTATCCGGCTGATCGAGATAGTGTTCAAGTTTGCGCCATGGCTGCCACTTACGTCGTTACATTTTGTCCAGAGGACACAGTTCCTGTTCCCTCTGCTCGCCGCACCATTCGTCGTGCTATCATATAGATAGACAGCCGACTGACTGTATTTACAACTTTGCGGAAATAAACGCAGCTCCATATTTTTATACAAATTTCAAGAGAAGCTGCAAAACAGCATCGATAAAGGGAAAATTTTCGCCAAAGCAAAGTGTGATAATCAGTATAAAATAAAAGAAATCTGGAAGAGAATACAGTAGTAAACGCGAAATGGAAAAACCAAGCACCACTTCCTTAAAAGGCATACCTTCAGTGCAGTCACAGAGTCAATGGTTATCATAATGGGGAGGTTCGGGAGCAATATCATCTGCACACACAAAGTGTGACGATCGTTGAAAATAAACTTCAAGAAAAACACGTACTCATCCTGTATTTGTCCGGTGGAGGAGGTGGTGGTGGTATATCTCCGTTCGAGCGATTCCATCTGCTATGGTTGGAATAGTCTCCATCATACGGCGGATCAAACATCCTGATGTCTTCACTTCTAGCCAGCTCCGAAGCTTCTTTGTCCAGCCTCGATTCCGCCCTGCATTGATGTAAGTGAAAGATTCGAACATATCTGATCCCAGTACCCACATTTTGAGCTCCTCGCGAAGACGGAAGACACGTACAATTGACTTTCGGAGCCTTTCAAAGCTGTGACAATTAATTACAACTGTCAGTTTCATAAAAGTGGAAGACGAAGCAGTACCTCTTCACTTGGAAGGTCAGGTTACCGATCTTTGACTCGGCTTCCGAATTCCTGGATGCCATCCGCGAGTTCTCTAGCAAAGCGTTCTGCAAAGAAGACTTAACGACAATCACGAAACGAGAGTCAAAGCTTAAGAAACCAAAGGAAAAAATGAAATCCTCACCTCGAGCTGCGACTTCTGCTTGTCGAGGGCGTCCAAGTCAGTCCCGACCTCATGCAGCTGCAACAGTTCACACTATCTCAATTCCTGAGCTTAAAAAACAAAAAGAGAGAACAGCGTAGATATCGTAAAACAAACGAAGCAAACTATCGACAACGAAGTGGTCGGAGAAAACGAGAAGGTGGACCAACCTGCTCGTTTAGAGAGCTGGATTGCACCTCTTTTCCATCGGACTGACCGTCCCCGAGCGCCCTCACCTCCGACAGCTCGCTCACACGATCGCCCTTGATCCTCTTTCCATCGCCATCTCTATCTCTATCACGGAAACTAGATTTAGCAAAATCCAGCCACGAAAGAAGGAAAAGAAGGAAAAAGCTCGTCTTACAGGTTCGAGCCCGATCTCTTTTGTCCCGTAGATCTTGGAGACGATAAGGACCGACTGGTTCGCTGCCTAGTCGGCGACCTCGAGCGGCTACCTCCTGCCAAGAACACAAAAAAGCCAACAAAATCAAACAAAAGATCTCTCGAGATTTTTTCACCTCGATCGTAAGAGCCCCTCCTGTCGTAGGTGCGCCTGTTGTAGAAGCGGTCCTCGCTTCTGCGGCTGTAATATCCCGATCGACCTGGAGGCCACAATGCACGGGGATGAGAGTCAAATCTCCTCCAAAATTTCCAGAGGGAAAAGGAATAGCTACAGTACCAGGCACCCGGCGGAGCTCTTCCTCCCCGTGGGCGAAGGAGCATGTCTGCCGATGGCAATTCCCTCTCTGGAAGAGATTGCACAGCTTCGTCTTGTACAGCTCCCGGTTATCTGGCATCGCGGCGCTCGACCAGGCCCAAGAATCGGGCAAGAAACTAGGGCGCGTGAGAATCCTACAGGGAAGCGAGGAGCAGCGAGCCGAATAGCCTTCAGCGGCACCGTTCTTGGACACTCTTTTACAGAATACACCCTAACTGGCTAAAGAATTAGGTTAGGTTTAAAGTTTCTAATTAAAAGCTTTATTTAAATGTTATTACAGTTAGAATATTCTTCATATTAGCTGAGGTACCGATGTACATGTCCGAGCAATCCCAGCCGCAGATGTTAGGGCACTATTGGAATTCATTTGGAATAGAATAAGATTATAAGGAATTCATTAGTGCAAAAATCTTTATATTCATAAATCTTGTGAAATTTTGAAAAACTAATTTATCTATATATTACTTTATTCCATCATCTTTGAGGCATGATAAAAGCTCCCAATGAAGCAAATTAACCATTGCTGAAATGCAACACACAGTTATCTTATTTAGTCAAGAGGGTTAACAAGAATAACAACACTATATCAACTAGCATAGTTATGTTACTTCAACTTGGAGGATTGAAAGCTGAAATAACCAGATTGCATAGCCATGATTATGACTTTGATGGTAGAGCACATCACATTGTGGTGGTGCTCTTTTTTGGTTTTTGATATCTAAGTTTGGAGATATTTCATAGAAGTATTCAAACTTCCTTTATCACTCTAGTAGATTTTGAAACTCTAGAAGAGAATAACACTTCTAAGCTGTTTAAGAATTACTATGATGAAGCATTGCTTTAACAAAATCATTGTGTATATGTATAACAAACTTTGTTCATTTCTTTTTATGATGAAGCATTGCTTTAACAAAATCATTTGACATGTGTATGACAAGCTTTATTCATTTCTTTTTCTTTGTGTGATATGTGAGTATTTTGTGGCTTGCAACATAGAAACATTATCCATCTAACTTTGCCTAATTATAATTTATCATTAGTGTAAGCAACCAAAAGAAATAATTTGAGAAATGATTAATAGAGTTTAAATTGTAAGCTCTTGGATTTAGACTTCCTAGAAGGTCACATAGGCTAGTATTATTATATCCTAAGGACCCTTAATTGATTGAAAACGAGGGTGCACTCTTATTTATGAGTCTTTTCCCTCTATATTTGAACCATTATAGATTATCTTTCGAATTATTCTCTTTAGTTATTTACAATCTATGATGTTTCCTTGTGTTTACAATTTACAACGCTTTTTTGCAAGTTCATGCCTTCATGAACAGAAGCTAAGAGTTGTACACTTCCTTGTAAATTCACATCCTCATAAACGGAAGTTAAAAGCTACAGCTCTCATAAAAGCTTTACTCTCTTGACACTCTACTGTAAGCAACCAAATGGAATAACTTGAGAGATGATCCATAAGGGTTTAAATATAGAGGGAAAGGGCCTATGAACAAGAGTGCACCCCCTTTTTCAATCGGTTAAAGATCTTGGGATATTGTAAGCCACAAATTTTTCCTTTCCAATTTACCAGCTTACCTTGTTTATTCGTCCTACCTTACCTTGGCTTTTGCTAAGTTCCCTCGCCAAGGTTCCCGCCTATGGTACCAGCTCCTACTTGGTTCTACTTGGTTTCAGCTACTCACTGCACGAGCAACGGAGCGTTAGCCATTCATCCACAGATTCCCAAATCTCTCCCAATCCCCCTCCCCGGGTTAGACTGGACTTAAGGTTCGGCTACACTCCCCGTAGGCACAAGCAACCAAGCACACCAAGCCTTTAGGTTTCTAACACCCCTTGGTACCACAAGACTTGATCATGGGACCCTCTAAATCCCAAGTCTTGGGTGCAACACTTGCTTCAGGATGCCAGTGTGAGACACAAAATCCCTAGGCCCCAAAGTGGAGCCGAAAGGGCGCCATGTGGTAGTGGCTGAAGCGAAAGCCAAACGAGCGTAACACGTTTGGACTAAAAGCTCCGACTTGAAAAGGTGAAGAGTGGGAGTGGAACTCCCAACAAAGTGCTCGAGGAACGAGCATGAAGCGAGCAATAAGCAAGGCTCCAAAGAGGGACCCAAAAAGGACCAACACATGACATGTGGAAGTGTTTGAGATGGACCCAAGTTGGGGTCTGAAGTGGAGTCCGAGATGGAGTCTGAGATGGACTTGAGAAGGACCTGAGATGGACCTGAGATGGAGTCCGAGATGGAGTCCGAGATGGACCCGAGATGGAGTTCGAGATGGAGTTCGAGATGGACCCGAGATGGAACCGAGATGGAGTTTGAGATGGACCCGAGATGGAGTCTGAGATGGAGTCTGAGATGGACCCGAGATGGAGTCTGAGATGGACCCGAGATGGATCCGAGATGGAACCGGGACCGAGACCGAGACCGAGACCGAGTCCGAGTCCGAAACCGGAACCGAGGCCGAGTTCGAGTCCAAGTCCAAGTCCAAATACTAATATAGGCAGTTGGGTGAAAGCCCAAAGCGATCGTCCCCCAGGGGGGGGGGGGGGGGGCTGCAGGGGGTTCCAAAAGTATAGTAGGGAGAGTGTGGGGGTTGGAGCCCAGTGGAGCCAGTTTGGCCAGGAAAGGCCAATTTGGCCCAGGAGAGGCCAATTTGGCCCAGGAAGGCCATACCCAGTGTTGGGTGATAAGCTGACCACTGGGAAGTCCAAGACTAGAGTGAATACGGACCGACAAGCGGGGTAGCTTGGTGAAGTGTTCAAGAGTCGGCTCTAGTTCCCCGGGGACATCGACTGGCCGATGCTCCCAGTCCAAATGTGGGTGGCACTACCTACTTGGATACCTGGTGTGGTTCAACGAAACCTCGCTCTAAGCCCATGGCTAGAGCACCCAAAAGCAGAAGGTGAGGAGAGTACCCACAAGGCCCGTGTAGGGCCACGGTGTTCCGAAATGTTGCCCCAATGCCCCAGACTGTGAAAAGGAAGAGGAGTAGCCCTCTGGTGTGGTGACAAAGGACACAGTCACACAGTGAGGAAGTCCCAGAGGATAGTGGACTTAGTGGTCAGGCCTGTGGGCCTTGACCCAATGGCAGTGTTGGTGAACACGGCCATGGACAGGAAGGGACTTGGTGGGGACTGGAAAGGAGATATTGGGGAAGGCGGTTCCCTATGTCTGTGGTCATCATAAGGATGCTAAGGAGTGGATCTAGGATGACCACTCATGGACGGATGACCCAGTCTTGGAGAGACAGGATTGCAATGTAGGTGGTGTTGAACCACCGATGTGACCAAGGTGAATGGGCAGGGCCTAGTGTAACGGGCTGATATGTTGGTGGTACCTTGGGGTGTCGATCATGGGATCGGACACGTGGAGCACTTGGACCAAGTGCTAAGGTTGAGTGGCATGGATGCCACTCTTGGGGCTAGTAGGCCCCAAGTCCTGAATCGGACTTATGGAGGTTGTGAATGAGACTCCTTCAAGTGGTCGGAGGTGTGGTTAAGTGACTAAAGTAGAATGGAAAAATTAATCGCTTACAGCCGGAGTGAAACACCGTGGCCTAACGACCCGGTATGGGTACCTCTACCCCCCCACTTCCATCCTCGACCAGCTCAATCTTATGTTTTATCGGTCGTGCGGGGGGCAACCCCGCCGGTAGCTCCTCTGGCATGGTATCCTGGAATTGGTCCAACACCCATTGGATCACTAAAGGTACTTCTTCTATTCCCGTCTTTTTGTCGCTCTTCACCGAGAATAAGCACAAAAATGCAGCCTTGGTCCTTTTAGTGAGTTGTCCTCTCGTGGACACCAAGTTTAGGCACAAATCTTTGGCCTTGCATTGCCCTACCTTTAGATCTTGAGCCTCCACCCTAGATCTTCTTCCTTGGGCATTCGCTAGTACCACAAGGTTCCTACCTTGTCCATGTAGGGCTACCACGAACCGATTGAACCAATCCATCCCGAAGATCACGTCAAATCCCACTATGTCCAACACGGTGAAATCCATGTCTACTTTCCAAGTCCCTACTTCGACTCTCGCTTGTCAAAATACCTCATCGGTGCTTTGGCTACCTTGAACAAACTCTATAGTCCTTGGTTCACCCAGCCGCTGCACTGTTAGTCTGGTTTGCCGGACTATGTTTGCAGCCACAAAATTATCTGAAGCACCCGTGTCAATAAGGATCTTAACAAAGCTACCTCCGAGCTTCCCTCGGAGGGCTAGTAGATGTCGCGAACGACTCTCTACCAAAGTTGCTCGTGTAATGAGTAACTTTGAGCTAGGGACTAGATCACATACCTCAGTTTGGACTTCACCCGACTTAATGGCCATATTGGCTCTGGCCTTCTTCGGGTAGGGACATTCCCTCGAAAAGTGTTCCGCTTCACCGCAGTTGTAGCATACGTTGTTTCCCATGCTGCTAAACGACTTGACCTTATTATCCGTGGGTTTGTCTTTTTTTGCTTGACTCCACCACGTACTTGCTCGCTGGCCACCGGATTTGCCTTTCCGGAACCCCGATGACTCATTTTTAGAGAAACTCTTCTTGAATTTCCCTTTGCTAAATGTTCCCCTTGGTTTGGCCCCTTTGCTAAACATGGACCCCGACCCCGTCGTGTTCCCCTTTTGTTGGTTATTGTTGAAATGCACCTTGATAGCCGCATCCAACGCTTCCTTGTAATTGGTCGAGTTTCAACACATCACCTCGCCGTGAGCCCAAGTTTGCAAGCCTGATATGAAGGCATGGAACGCATCCATATCCCCCATGTCTGTGACAAGTATCCTCTTTGCCATAAACCCATTCACATACTCTTGAATGATTCCAGTCTACTTCAGCCTACTCAGCTCGTCTCTTAGATGCAGAGTAGCATTTGGAGGAACGTAAGTCACGCGGATCCTCACCTTCATCATGTCCCAAGTGGCCACCGGTCCTTCGTTGGCCTCCGTCGTTCTCCACCAAGACTTGGCATTATCTGCCAAGTATGGTTTTGCACATGGGACCTTCTCTGAGCTCGGTAATCGCAATGCTCAGAAGTAATCCTCCATATCATAAAACCAATCCTCCACCACCTTATAGTCGTTCACTCCCTTGAAGACCGGTGGGGGCTTTGGTTTGTACTTGGGAACTGCCTAAAGGACTAATTCCACTTTGGTTTGTTCGACCTTGTTTGGTTCTACCTCAATCTCTACCGAAGGGTCCACACCTTTTGCGTTGCCA